AACACACTGAGGTCACAAACACACTGAGGATACAAACACTGAGGTCACAAACACACTGAGGATACAAACACTGAGGTCACAAACACACTGAGGATACAAACACTGAGGTCACAAACACACTGAGGACACAAACACACTGAGATCACAAAAACACTGAGGTCACAAACACACTGAGGTCACAAACACACTGAGGACACAAACACACTGAGGACACAAACACTAAGAGACACAAACATTGAGGGACACAAACACTGAGGGACACAAACACTGAGGACACAAACACTAAGGGACACAAGCACAGAGGACACAAACACTAAGGAACACAAACACTGAGGGACACAAACACTAAGGGACACAAACACTGAGTGACACAAACACTGAGGGACACAAACACTTAGGGACACAAACACTGAGGACACAAACACTGAGGGACACAAACACTAAGGGACACAAACACTAAGGGACACAAGCACAGAGTACACAAACACAGAGGACACAAACACAGAGGACACAAACACTGAGGGACACAAACACATAGGACACAAACACAGAGGACAGAAACACAGAGGACACAAACACTGAGGGACACAAACACTAAGGGACACAAACACTGAGGGACACAAACACTGAGGGACACAAACACTGAAGGACACAAACACTGAGGGACACAAACACTGAGGGACACAGACACTGAGGGACACAAACACTGAGGGACACAAACACTGAGGGACACAAACACTGAGGGACACAGACACCGAGGGACACAGACACCGAGGGACACAAACACCGAGGGACACAAACACTAAGGGACACAAACACTGAGGGACACAAACACTGAGGGACACAAACACTGAAGGACACAAACACTGAGGGACACAAACACTGAGGGACACAGACACTGAGGGACACAAACACTGAGGGACACAAACACTGAGGGACACAAACACTGAGGGACACAAACACTGAGGGACACAAACACTGAGGACACAAACACTGAGGGG